GTGCCGGGTGTGAGCGGGCTCCCCGCGCCCTGGGGGCCGTGGAGGGGCCCGCGGGAGGGCGGAGAGGGCCGAGTGCTGGTGAGGAGGTGGGGGTGTCCGGGCCACGGAGGGTCTCTGAGGTGGGGGCGTCCCTCTCTGGAGTGGCACACGGGTGATCCAGGCAGAGGTGCCCACGCCGCGACGGAACATAGAGGATCAGGAAGAAGGAAGGCGCTGCGGCCGGGGAGGTGTCAGCAGGGACAGGTGCAGACGCGCGGCAGGCGGCGCGGACCGGGTCACGGCCACTGATGGCGCTTGCAACACAGCAAGAAGCGGCAGGAGGGCGCTGAGCTGGGAGAGCCGCGCAGTGCTTCTGCGTCTGTCTGTCCCTGTGTCTGTCCCTGTCTCTCTGCCTCTAACTCACCCGTGTTTTGGTCTCTGTCTATTTGTTTCAATATCTTCCTACTTGTCTAACTCTACATCCTTATTCCTACCCCATCCCCATCTCTAACTCCGCCTCTATCTCTGTCTCTCGGTAGCTCTAACTCTGTTTATCTGTCTCTGTTTCTGTCTTGATCTCTACCTCTGTCTCTGTTCCTTTATCTAACTCTATCTGTATCTCTATGTCCACGTCTAACTGTATGTCTTGCTATTTCTAATTCTGTTTCTAACTCGCTATTGCTGTATCTCTCATCGGTCTCTGTCTGTCTCATTTACAGCATTTTGTCTTGAACCATTTCCTAGGCGACTGGGACTGTCATCTCACTGTAAGTAAAAACACCACTAATTCATCACAGTTCCACCTGGCTGAACGCCTACAAAAGACAAATGCTCTTATTTTGAAATCAGACGAAAATACGGGATTGTAGTTCACATGTTCTGGTCAGGGTGAAGCTGCCTTTGATTGGGACCTTGGCGTCCCCTGCCTGTTTGCCGAGAACCCCCTCCGCATACGGAGTGTGGCCTGTGTCCCTGTGACCTTACGGCGTTGGCCACAAACTCCCTGGGTTCAGGCGGCCTCGGGCCCCACTTCCTTATCTGCGCTCCAGGCGGGAACCGGCACACGTGTTCTCCAGACCCGAGGGGGTGGGGTCACCGGTGGTCTGGGATGTGACACGCAGCGGACGTGACTGTGGCTCCTGTGTTCTCTGCCACGGAAGGACCCGGCCTGCAGGCGAGCTTGGGAAAGGACAGCTTGGGAAAGGACAGCGTGCCAGGCGCCGGGCGGAGCGGTCCCGGAGGGCGGGGCCCGGCAGCCGCCCTTGGCTCCCCTCCAGCTCCGCTTCTGCGGCCCCGACGTCAGGTGGCCGAGGGCAAAGCCGAGGGGACCCGCTGCCGTGTCGCAGCTGCTTTCTCACCCCGAGTTTCACTGCTGCGCGTGGCGGCGTTGCCCCCGGTGTGAGCAGCCTCCCCACCCTGCCCGCCAGCCCCCACCCGGCCCAGCGCGGCGGGCGCAGGACAGCACC